ATGTGGGATCCGAACCCTCAGCGGGAGCGCCGCCGAGCTCCCAAGCGGCGCACTGTAGCAGTGCGCCACCGGGCTGACCCCTTACCGGTCATCTTTTGAAAAAAAAAAAAAACCAACTGATGTCCGTGAGCACTGGTTGAGAAGCACCCAAGTGGAATAAGCGTGCTCTAAGAGCCCTTGTTTGTGGGTGTGTTAAGGTGCTCATAATATGCGCTGCCAAGTGAGCTCAGCGTATTTCCCTGTGCCAACAGGTTTCCATCCCCTGGGTTTCTTGGCCAGCTGGAAGATATTTGAAGTCTGGAGGACATCCCAAGAGTGCTGGTATGGCACTTCCTGTTTCTCCCTCTTTCCTTTAAGGAGAGGAACAGTGTACCTTCATGTTACCTTCCTGGGCCACTTTCCTCTGGCAGAAGTCCTGCCAGAATTCACATTGCAGGACTAACAATGCCCCCCACCCTTTTATTTTTGCTGGGGTAGGTGTACTATTTTTGCTGGACTAACAATGCCCCCCACCCTTCTATTTTTGCTGGGGTAGGTGTATTTTTGCTGGAGTTCCATGGAAGAGAATTTGTCGTGGAATTTGGTTAACTTCTTAGGGTTCAGTCATGGCCTGTGGGAGAATTATTACTACCTACTTTAAGCCCGGGGGGGTGGCGGGAGTAAAAAAATCCTTAGCTTTTAGAGCATAGCCAAGGTCATGGGCCAGCTGCAAAAGAATAAATAAATAAAAATCCCTAGCAAAGTTAAGGATTCAGCAAAGTTGTAGTATACAAAATCCACACACAAAAATTAGTTGTTACCAAAATCAAGGTTTCAGATCCCCGTACAGGCAACCCCCCCCACACACACACACACACAAGTCGCATTTCTTTATGCTAACTGAGCAATTCAAAAAGTAAGTTAAGAAAAAAATCCCATTTACACCAGCATCAAAAGAATAAAGTACTTAAGAATGTATTTAACTAACAAGGTAAAAAAATGTGTACACTGGAAACTACAAAACATTGCTAAAAGAAATTAAATATCTCGGCTGAGCCCGTGGCACACTCGGGAGAGTGCGGCGCTGGGAGCGAAGCGACGCTCCCAAGGTAAAAAAATGTGTACACTGGAAACTACAAAACATTGCTAAAAGAAATTAAAGATCTCGGCTGAGCCCGTGGCACACTCGGGAGAGTGCGGCGCTGGGAGCGAAGCGACGCTCCCGCTATGGGTTCGGATCCCATATAGGAAGGGCTGGTGTGCTCACTGGCTGAGCGCGGTGTGGGCGACACCACACCAAGGGTTGCGATCCCCTTACCAGTCACGAAAAAAAAAAAAAAGAAATTAAAGATCTAAATAAATGGAAAAACATCCTGTATGCATAGATTTGGAAGACTTAAGGTGACAGTGCTATCCAAAGCACCCTTCAGATTCCATGCAATCCCTATCACAATCCCAATAGCATCTTTTACAACACTAGAAAAACCCACCCCAAAACTCACATGGGAAATATGGGACCCTGAAGAACGAAATCAATCTGGAAAAAGAACATTAAATTTAGAGGACTCACACTTTCTGATTCAAAACTTACTGCAAAGCTACAGTACGCAAAACAATACAGTACTGGCATAAGAACAGACATTTATAATCTGATGGGATAGAATAGGGAGCCCCATAATAAACCCTCATATCAACGGCCAGTTGATTTTTGACAAGAGTGCTAACATTTAATGGGGAAAGGACAGTCCTTCCATCTAATGTACTGGGAAGAAAGACTGCATATCCATGGGCACAAGAGTGAAGTTAGACCCTTACCTTACACAATACACAAAAATGAACTTGCAATGGTCAAAGACCTAAATCTCAGAACTAAAACTATAAAACCCTTAGAAGAGGGAAAAGCTTCATGACCTTGGCTTTGGCAAAGATTTCTTGGATATGACTGACACCAGAAGCACAAGCACCAAAAGAAATAAATCGGACTTCATCAAAATTAAAAACTTTTGTGAATCAAAGGACACTATCAAGAGAATAATGGGCTGGCTGGTTGGCTCCGTTGGTTAGAACCTGGTGTTAAAAACATCAAGGTCCAGGATTCGATCCCTGTACCAGCCAGCTGCCCCTCCCCCCAAAAGTAAAAACAACCCATAGAATGGGAGAAAATATTCTTAAGTCAAACATATATCTATATACTATATGAAGAAGTCCTACAACTCAACAAAAAAATCAAACAGTTCAAAAACAGACAACGGACTTGAATAGACGTTTCTTCAAAGATAATTCTCAATGTCATTAGTCATTTGGAAAATGCAAATCAAAACCACAATGAGATACCATTTCACACTCATTAGGATAGCTATTTAAAAAAAAACAAAACATTGAGGATGTGGAGACACTGGAACCCTGGAGCACTGCTGGTGAAAATGTAAAATGGGGCAGAAAATAGTTTGGTGATTCCTCAAAAAGCTAAACAGAATTACTGTGATCCAGTAATTCCACTGTCGGTATATACCCAAAAGAATTGAAAGGTGGGACTCAGAGAAATATTTGTACACCAGTAACATAAGGTGGAAACATAAGTGTCCATCAACAGATGAATACATATGGTATATACATATAATGGAATATTATTCAGCCACAAAAAGGAATAAAATTCTGAGTCATACTACAACATGGATGTACCTTGAAAACATTGTTCTAAGTGAAATAAGCCTGACACAGGGAGAAGTATTGTATGAGTTCACACCTATGAAATACTGAAAATAGTAAAATTCATATAAACAAAGTAGAATAGACGCTGGGGTCAGGGGGCAGTGGAGAGTTACTATTTAATGAATACAGAATTTCTGTTTGGGATGATGGAAAAGTTCTGGGAATAAATAGTGATGATTGCACAATAATGTGGCTATATTTAATGTTGCTGAATTGTACACTTAAAAATTGTTAAAATGGTAAAATTTATGTTATGTACATTTTATAATCTTTTTATAATAAAAAAAGGAAACAGCCATGTTTAAAAAGGTCAAAGATAAATTAGTGCCTAAAGCCCATGAACCTCACAAAAAGCCCAGCTGCCTCTGCATCTGCCTGGCAAACCTCCTCCACTCCCTGTGCATCTCTGTGCGGCATCATGGTCACTCACTCTTGCTGTCAGCCCTCCCAGCTGCAGTGCTGCCTGGCGTAGGTACTTAAAAGTCACACAGTGTGCCCAAGGCAGAGGGATGTCAACCCAGGTTTAGGTCTGGGTTGAGAGCTACTGAGTTCTGGCCACTTAGCCTTCTGCTGCAGACACATTTCTGCAACTCCTGTGTATGAACTGAGAGCATGCGATTTTCACAAGGTGTGTGAGGGAGAGGTGAGGTGGGACTAATTTCTCTTTGGTCACAATGCTTCAAGAGTGCCTACTGGCAACTCCTGCCAGCTTTACTGCCAAGGGAGGCTGTAAGCAGGGGAGTAGACAGAATGCCACTCAGGCACTCTTCCTGCCCTGAGGAACAGGCCCAGGGAAGGCTTTTGTTTCCCCTTTCTCCCATCCTCAGTCACTGTCACCAACTGCAGCCAGCCTGAAAACTGGGATGCTGGGGAGCTTGCACCTTTGACCAACTGCAAGCCACAGGAGCTTACCTCCTTCTTGGCCTAAGCTGCCAAGGGATGTCTCCACATGCTCCAAGGCAGTAAATCTCAACTCTGGCCATGCCTTAAACTCACTGGAAAGCTAGAACTTTAAAAATCCTCATGCCTAGGCCCTACCTTCAGTGCTTTTGATTTAATTGGTCTTGGAGAAACTGCTGGTATTTTTAAAAGCTCACCTCGTGATTGGAGTGTGTAGCTGGGATTGAGAACCACACTTCTGGATGGTTGCAGCAGAGGCCTTGGGTTCAGGGCTTCTTACCGAACCAGGAAAGGAGCCTGGAGTTACTGCATTCCAGTGTTCGTGGCCCTGTAGGATGACAGGTTGGGCAAGAGAGACAAATACTAGTGGGCACAGGTTTATTTGTATTCCCACTTTGTGTGTTTGTGTAGGAAAAGAGGAACCTTTTCTCCTTTCCTCTGAGGTCTGAAGCTCGCAGAACTGCTCTTCTGTATGGCCTTCATGTAAGTGTATGAATATGGTGACTGGAGGAAGTTGTGCCTTTACCGTCCCTTTGGGACACCACACCTAGGTCAAGGGCTCCCTGGAATGGTGGGGCCCCCGAGCTGATCTCTCGTGTGCCTCCATGGGGGCTGGGTCGTGGGTAAGTTGCTCGTTAGTGCATCAGCCATTTCTTTCATGCCCTCTAGATTCAGTGGTGCTGGGAGGAGCCTTCGGGATGGTTTGTTGCAGGACTCGGGAGGAAGTTAAGGGGAGAAGAGCGCTCTCTGGTGGCCAACCTGGCAGCGGTGAGCAGTACACAGTGGGGAGAGGCCCAGAGACAAGGGAGCTGGGTTCCAGGAAGAGTTTGGCAAAGGATCTTTGGGCAGCTGTACTCCTAAGTGAGCAGGAGTTCTGCAGTGATCATGAAGGAAAACCATGTCAGGAAGCTAAGGACGGCAGAGGCCTGCTCCTCAGGAGCTCACAGACCCCGGGGGCAGACAGCCCTGGTAACATGGAGGGAGCTGTCAGTTGTGCAGGGAGGTGGGGTGTCCAGGGAGTCTGCACACAGGGCGTTAAACAGAGCCTTGCCAAGGTCGTGGGTAGCATGGTTGAAACTGCACTGAAGTCCAGGGTTCCTGCAGGCGGCCTGTGGGCCAGTTCCGAGCTACAGACCTGTTTTGTTTCCCTCAGTTTCTTCTTTAATCTGAATTTTTAAGACTCCAGTGTTAAAGACACACACACACACACACACACAATCACACACACACACACACAATCACACACACGAGAAATGCCGATTTCTCACTCCTCTTCAGAACGTCTTGTGACCCCGGGGCCTGCATGCAGTTTGGCACGGAGCTGGTGTCTCCGTTGCTCCTTCAAGCGGCCACCGCACAGCCACAGCGCCAGCCCCTGACGCTTGTATCGTCTGCCTGGCCAGGGAGGCCAGAGTTTGCCTGCCTGTGAGAGACTTAATAAACGCGTTTGTCGGGCCGAGCCCCTGGCGCACTCGGGACAGTGCGACGCTGAGAGCGCAGCAGCGCTCCCACCGTAGGTTCGGATCCTATATAGGGATGACCGGTGCGCTCACAGCGCTCACTGGCTGAGCGAGGTGCGGCCGGTCTCAAAAAGGACAAAAATAAATAAATAAACGCGTTTGTCTTTGCTTTGCTTTTGGTTTTCTGGTTCCCAGGCAGATGTAGGGACGCATGGACAGGAAGGGCCCTGAGGTGAGGAGTGTGGTGGTTCTACTGTTAACACTGCCCCTGTGGCTTCATGATCAGGCCAGCCCAGGAAGCACAGGTCCTGGCGTCCGTGTCACCACGGGACTGGCAGTATGGGTCCCAGAGATGGAGAGGCCTGGGGTGCCTTTTGCACAGGCCTTGAGGGCACGTCGGGAACGGTGCCTTTATCCCGCTGTCAGTGGGGACCAGTGAAAGGTCACTGCGGAAGCCACCCTGCTAGGCGGCTCAGGCGTGTGGTGGCCTTCACTTCGCCAGGGCACCCTAGAAGTCAGAGTTCCGTTTGCCTGCCCCGTGTACAGACATTTTCTAACCCCCTGGGCCGGACCTCAGAGGGCTTCACCGCCGTCCTCGCCTCAGGGCCCTTCAGTGCGGCCTCCGGGGCGAGCTGCCAGGGACTGCTCCCGTGGCCGCCTCAGGGGATGACACAGCCCCCGGAGAACCCTGTCGCAGGCAAACCAACTCTCGGGGGTCCTGGGCTACTAGCCACAGTCACCGAGGGTCCACACTCTCCGGGCCTTGGGCCATCCCGTTCATTGTTCAGACTCCCACGCCCTTCCCTGGCCCTGTTCAGCGTCTCCTCAGAGAAGGGGCCCGGGGCTGACAAGGCTTATGAACGGGCGGGCCCGGGACGCGCTGGCCCTCCCGGCGCAGACACGACAACGCGCGGGGCTCGAGTACAGCTGCTGGGGCGGCCGACGGGAGGTGCCGGTCTCCGTGGAGACGAGGGGCGGTGCTCAGACGCGGCCGCGGGGGCGGCCGTTGGGAGGTGCTGGTCTCCGTGGAGACGACGGGCAGGGGCTCGAGTGCAGCCGTTGGGACGTGCTGGTCTCCATGGAGACGAGGGGCGGGGGCTCGGGCGCAGCCTTTGGGAGGCGCTGGTCTCCGTGGAGACGAGGGGCGGGGCGGTGCGCGCGCCCGTCGCGAGTGCTGGTGGCCGCAGACTAACGTCTGGTCCGGGTCCGCCTCGGTATTACCTCGCTGTCGCTGGAGACGGCCCGGGCTTAAGCAGCCGGAACCGCAGTCGCTGGGGACCCTGCCGCTGCTTCTCCCGAGCGGAGGCCCGCCGTCCTCTCACTGTCTCCTGGAGGCTCACAGGGACCTTCTTCCTTCCTGGTGTCCCCAACGGCCTCCAAAACTCCGGAGCCGGGCGCGGGCGCTCCTCAGCGAGCCACGCCGCGTCCTCCCGGCTTTTGTAGCCTGGGCTGGAGAGCTGGCCCTTCGTGCTTCACTGGGTCACACAAATGTTTATTGAGCATCTGCTGTGGGCCAGGAATTCACGAGACAGACAAGCCGACCTTGGCGTGGGCAAAAACTCCACGTAGTGATGAGTGCTATGAAGGAAAAGCGGCGGGGAAAGCCAGGGTGACCGTACTTCAGATGGGGTGTTCAGGGAGGGCTCCTCTCAAGAGGTGACATAATCGGCAAGAAGAGGACAGAGCCTGTGAAAGTCTTCAAAGAGACGGAACAGCAGTGTATAGTCCAAGGGACGGAAATAAGACCCCCAGTGAAGGGCAGCGGGGTAGAACGGGGTGTGCAAGGCAGGCAGGAACTTGTCGGCCATGGGCAGACGTCTGTATTTCTCTTCCATTTCCATGTGGTAATGAAGTACCCGGTGTGTAGCAGGGGCGGGCCGGTCCACGGAGGCTCCAACAAGGCTCTTGGCCTCTGTGAAGATCTGGTAACAGAGGAAGACCCACATAGAGACCTTCTCAACCTTTTAGGGGGCAGATGCTGCGAAAAGGGCCACTCTGGAATGCAGTTTAGATTTCAGAAGAGCACTCTGTCGCTCCTCACACTCTTCTTAAACAGCCCGCTCCCTGGGCTGTTCCTGGGGAGATATGGTCCTGAGGCCCCTCGTTCAATGGACGGCCTTCTGAAGGGTGTCTTCTGCCCCCAGCCCCGGAGGGCGCATGCTGCCACACTCCCAAGCTGTGGATCCTCGTCCGCCCTGCGCGCTGCGAGCACCCCTTCCTTGGCTTCTGGTTAACTGGGCAGATGAAAGGGTTCAGGTGGGGCAAGAACACTGGACTGGGAATTGGGGTATAATCCAAACGCCCTGGACGGGCAGCCTCTTCTCTGGACGTCACTTTCTTCATGTCACATGGGGGTAGGGGACAGGGATGGATGGATGAGACAGGTGCTAAAGACCCTTGCCATTCGACCCCCAGGGTAGTGCTAAAACGTTTCTCAAGGGCCACCTCTTTCAAGAATAATTATCTAGTTAAAGGGGTATAAAGGAAGGAAACATTGTTTGAGGGCCATTTATGTCCAGTTCTAGATTAGGTATTGGTTTGGTGGGGCCTGCTTTTTTTTTCCCGAGTTCCTTCATATCATAAACCTGAGTCATAACTAGGGCCAGGAATTAGATTCCAGTTTCTAGATGTTCACATTCCATGTTACACAAAATAAGGATCGGGGGGCAGATAATTTAGCTGGAGAAAACTATGAGAAAAGGAATCAGGATGGTGGGGTTAGGAGTGGCAAAGGAGGAGCTGGTGGAGATGAAGAGTTGGGGGAGTCAGGGCTGGGTGGGCCTGAGGAGAGGAAGCTGGGAAGGGGGAGCCAGGGAGATAAAGTCGAAGAGGTCATCAGGGACCAGAAGGTGGAGGACTGGCAGAGGGGGTTTGAGCACGACAGCAACAAACTCAGATTTATCTTTTAAAAGGTACTCTGGCTGCCTCTAAGTGGAAAAAGGACTGCAGTGAACTGGGTGGGAAGGGGGGTAGAATAGTAGGTGGGGTACAATGGCAGGCGGAGGGGCCTGGCAGCAGAAAAAGCTGGATGTGGGTCAGGTGGACAGCTGTGTCTGGTGGCAGACCTTTGGCTACCCCCTACCCAATGTAACGATGGTGCCCCACTCTTTCTGCCCTGCACCTTAGTAATAGATAATGGCAATTAAGGAGCAGAGTCTGATTTGAGGTTGCCGAGGAATTCTCTGGGGTAGCTGGTAACTAGTTCTTGACTAGTAGGAGAGTTCAGAATCCCCAAGACTGCAAGAGCAAATAACTGCTTTTCAAATGGGCTGCATCCATGCGGAGCTGGGACCCAGGAGGGGCTGGTGCTGTGATGGGAGGGTTTGAATCCCATCTCATTTATTCCACAAATATTTATCGAGGGCCTACTATGTGCCAGGCCCTGTGCAGCAGCAAACACAACAGGTCCCTGCTCTAGTGGGGATAACAGGCATAAAACAGGATAATTTCAGAAAGTGATAAGTGGTACAAAGCAAAGTACTAGGAAGTGGCTGGGGACAGGCAAGGGGGGGCTACTTGAAATGGGGTAAACAGCAAATGCTTTGTCATCTTTTCCTGGCTGGATATTATTGGGGATATTGCCCAATCTCTCTTAAGCCTCAGTTTCCACACCTGGACAGTGGAGCTATAAAGACCATCCCCACCCCTTGCAGTGCCTGATTCTGCTCTCTGAGCCCCCTCTTGTGCTCACCCTGCTCAGGCCCGCCCCAGTGCCCAAGGCTTTTGGTTCCTCCCAAGAGGAAAGTCTCCCCACCCAAGGCCACTGGTGAGGAAGTGAGAGGGATAATCTGGGCCTCCCTATGTGTGCCTCAGGCAGCCAGCCAGGCCTACTCTGGAAGA